ACACCATTTCGTTAAACACCACATGACGAGAAATATAAACCCTTCCATCATCCGCAAGGCACTGGTACCCCTTATGTCGGGGGCTGAACCCTAAGTACGTGCAAGGTTGTGAGCGGACGGACAGCTTATGAGTTTGGAAAGGTCTTAGATGGGGAAAGCACTGGCACCCGAAGACCTTCAGATTATCATAAACGGGTTTCTTGCTGTACAATTTCTCAAACGGTGATTGCCCTTCAAGCACCTTAGTTGGTAACCGATTGATGAGGTGAACAGCTGTTGTCATCGCATAGGACCAGTACTGAACAGGTAAGGACGCCTGAGTGAGCAAAACCAGGCCAAGCTCGACTATGTGACGGTGTTTGCGTTCTACAACACCGTTCTGCTCCGATGTATGGGGGCAGACAGACGATGCACAATACCCGCTTGAGCTAGTAGCACAGAGAAAGGGCGATATTCTCCACCCCAGTCGGTTTGAACTGCCTTAACCGCTACACCAAACTGAGTTAATACAAGCTTATGAAACAGCTGAAAAGCAGATAAGGCTTGAGCCTTTTCCTTTAGGAAATAGACCCATGTGAACCTGGTATACGCATCTACAAACGACACGTAGTATCGAAAACCGTTAGATGGCACGTGTGGAGGTCCCCACAAATCTGAAAAAATAAGCTCAAATGGATCCTTATACACGGTTTTAGACGAATCAAAAGGAAGCTTGTGACTCTTGCCCATACAGCAGGCCACGCAAGTTTTATTAACCTCAGAATCAACTTTTACATTGATTTGATTAGCTATTCTATCTAGAGCATATCGAGCTGGGTGTCCTAAGCGACAGTGCCATAGTTTTGACTGATCACGTGTAACATCTGCAGCTGCTACATGTACAGCAGCACCATATTCTACTCCGAAAGCAAAGGTGTACAGACCATCCTTTTCTTCACCTTGCAGCAGGATATTTCTGGTAGATTCATCTCGAACATAGCATTTGCCAGCATGAAACTCAACATAAACTGCATTATCCCTAGCAAGCTTGGAGACAGAAATCAAGTTTTTTGTTATACGGGGCACATGCAATAGATCATTCAAAAATATAGCTCTTGAAGATTCAACACCGTATTACCAATGTTATGGATGTCAAGCGACACTCCATTTCCCACAGTTAGTTTACCTGGGCCTCTAAAGTCAACGGAATTTGGGACGTTATTAACGTCGGGGGTAACGTGGTGAGTAGCACCCGAGTCCACTACCCAGAGGTCAGCTGATTTTGAGGCTACATTGGCCTGTGGTGATCGCACAACCATTTGAGGCTGACCATTGCAGTAATCACACCCCGAGCTAGGTGTTTCAACAGTCGAGTGATGAGCACTAGCAGACTGACCTTTGTGAGACCGTGACTCAGCAGTAACACACATGAAATCCTCATTGAACCGATGCCAACAACGGTCAACAAGATGACCAAGCTTGCCACATAATTGGCATTGAATTTTGGTTCTTCCTCGACCACGAGCAGCAGAACGATTGCTTGAGGAGGGACGAGAGGACCTGGAACCTCGGTTGTCATCGGAGTATTTTGCCTCATGTTGAGCAAAACTTGCACTCATAGGCAATGATTCCATGGACTCATCAAATCCAGCTAACTGGGCTTCAGCATCTAGAAGCATTGTGTGTAATTCTTCGAGGGAGAGCGTTTCCTTCATCGTAGTGATAACCGCCATGAACGGCTGGTATTCCCTGGGTAACCCCTTAAGTATACTGGCTATATGACCAACATGTGGTACTGTACTTCCACAGGAGGCGAGTGCATCGCATACCTCCTTGACGCGGGAAAGATAGGTCCGCATAGTGTCATTCCCTTTTCTTAGTGACTGCAGCTTGCAGTGAAGTCCCATAGCAGCGGTAGTAGATCTGTTGGAAAACAATTGTTGCACCGTGCTCCATACTGTGGCAGCCGAATCTGCTCCAACAAACTGCGGCAGGAGGTGCGGGCTGATGGTGGAAAGGAGCCATGACGCTAGTGCACTGTCCTGTGCCACGAACTCTTCAAAGGCATCATTGACAGTCACTTCGCCATTGCTATCAAGTACCGTCTCCGGTGGTGGCTTCAAGACTCCGGTTAATAACCGCTCGAGGCGATGGCTTCGGACTGTGAGTAATATCTGTTGCTTCCACAACAGAAAATTCATCTCATCAAGGAGAACACTCACTTTCTTGTGTGCAAAGTTCTTGAACGACTCCATGATCGTTACCAAGAGAGAGCAGCAGTAGCGGAGGCTTACAAGAAATCCCCAGAGCGTTTGGCGAAAGATACCATGTTAGGAAGTGTGAACAACAGAAAAAATATGCTCAGTAAAGAATCACTTGAATTCATATCAACTGATACATTGTTTTTATAGCAGTTGTTTAGCTAGTCATTAACCGCTTAACAAACTAACTAACTTGACTAACAACCTAACAGCCTAACCACCCTTACATACACGTGCTGTACCTACAGCAGTTTTACAGTATTCTAACATTCCCCCTGCTCTTCCTTTTCTCCTCTCAAAGCCTAACAGGGGTTCTTCCATTATGATCGTTTCGTGGCAGAGGGTTGGCAAGTTTAGCTATGGCATCTGCTGGAACGTTTTTTAGATGATAAAAGGTTGTATAATAAATTAGAATAGAAAAGATGATGAAGTTTTAGATTTTGAGATCATTAGACGGTTTTAGATAATAAAATTTTGAATACTTCACAAGAAATAATTGTATTTGACAATTGTACCGATATGAATTTAAATATAAGTCTTAAATATAAATCTTTGACAACTCAAAATCGATAAATTTTGACATTAAGATTTTCAAATCATATTGTTTAAATTTAAATATAATAGTTTAAACATACACTTGTTGTTAGAACCCATCAAGTGACCTCAATTGTAAAAGAGAGTGATGTTATCTCTAGAAGTCCTGGGTTAAAACAACTATGTCTGTTGGATATGTATTTATTGTCAATATGTTAAGAAAAATTTTGAACAAATACTACATTGTAATAACTCCATACTATTAAAAAACATTTGTTGGTGTGTGGGTTCGAACATATATGTTTGCAAGGTGTGTTCAATGTCAATTAACTAATAAAATTCTGAACAAATATTACCTTGTAATCACTCCAAAGGCAGACAAAGACCTTTCCAATAAAAGTGTTTATATTTTTAAAAGGTTTAACACAAAAACAAGTACCTAAACTTTGCCTCAAAAAATAATTTGTTGTTTAAAGAAATTTTTGCTAATAAAAATATAATTTTTAAAAAATAAAATTAAAAAAACTTAATTTATTTGTAATAAACCAAACTTTTAATGAAATTATTAAAAAAACTCTAAAAAAAACTAAAATATCTCATTTCAACCCCATTACTAACCGTCATCGGCCACCATCGTCACCAAACATTTGGATTTTGATTAGAATTACCACAACGTAACACATGTCACTTAACGATCAAATTTAACGACCATATCGGTCCATACAACTAAAAGTGTTTCGATGAAAACGTTAGGCACCTATTTTTGGACGAAAAATTCTTTAGACAATAAAAGTTTTCTGATGCATTATTTAGGCACTTATTTTTGTATTAAGTCTTTTTTAAAAAATTATCAATATTTTTAAATTTATTTGTTATATTTATAATTTATTATTTTACAGCTTCTTATATTTTTAATGATATATTTTAGTTTTTCATTTTTAGTAATTTTATGAATATTTTAATATTTTTAAAATTTTAATTATTTCTTAATTTTTACTTAAATATTAAATAAACCCTCACATTTTTAATTAAAATCAATTAAACATTTTAATACATATTTATTCATTAATTGAAAAATAAAAGAATAAATTTTAAAATATATAATATAAAATTTGAATACAACAAAAAATTATGATTAAAATCCCACAAACCCAGCTGCTTCAACCAGGACTTCCAAAGAAAACTATATTCTCTTTAACCATTAAGGTCACTTAATGGGTAATAGATTGAGTTAACTTATAATCGGACTTAAACTGGAATAAATCTAAATTGAAACACAGCATGGATGGTGACACCGGAGGCTGTCGGGGGCTTCGGCGCCCTGAATTGGTAAAATTTTTCATTTGGTCCATGAAATTAAAAAAAAATTAATTAATGCAGTGGAGGACCACGCCTACACAACGACAAGCAGCGAAAAGTTGTGGCCCTTCACACATGATTTAGGTCAATCCCTTCAAAAGAAACTCAACTTGTCCTCCACCAGAACACCCAACGTTATCTACGTCTTTTAATCCTTTCTTAACAAAATCTCATAAATGGATAAATCCAAAATCCAGTGTTAAGTCATTTATATAAAACTAGTAACATAAGGGAGAAGTGGTTAAAATTCTTTGGCATTTCAAACCCTATTCATAAATATTTTCTTTGTATTTTTCATTGATAAACTATTTTTACCTTCCTAAAGTTTTATAAGCCGACTCTCTAACATAAAGTCCTTCTTCCGTCCCTCCAATATTCTATGTTTAACTAACACAATGGGTAGAAGACATGTTATTACGAGGAAAGTATTGGTAAACAAGAACATGTGCTAAGATGAAGAATATCATGTGATTTGTTGCGTGTAAAAATGAGATGCTAACTCTGAAGGATCTCTTCAAGTGGCCAAAAGAGTAAAGAGAGACGTATGGAAAGAAGGAATTCCCAAGTCTAATTGTCCCTTCCAATGTCAAAATCAGACAAAAAGGTGGGTTTCTCATACCTTTTCATTTGGTTGTTATGGGTCTACCATTCCATCCAACTCCCTCAACATCCCATCATGGACCACTTCATCTTTCTCACCACTCTACCTGTGGGAAATGTCATTACTTTTCCACCAATGTCGAGTGTCGACATGAGAAGAAAACAGGCAGCTGCTCAATTTTGATTTTTCTTATCAAGTGAAACATAAAACAAACAAGAACATCGTAAGCAAACGACTTTTGCATATTTCTTTTTCACGGACAGAGCTACTGATAAGAGATCTGTGATTATGATTGCACTACGTCCATTGACCAACTACTAGCTCATAGCAATGGTCTTTAACAACATTGGGGAAAAAGTGGCCAATGATCCCATACAACTAAATTGAAATCTAGGATTGTAAAAATTTCTGCTACATTAACCCGAAGGTCACCAAATTCCTCCGTGGCTCATGTAGGGTCTTCTTTAACTGTCATTTAAGTTGGATGTTCAACGTTTTTCTCAACACCGGCTACTTCGGTTGCTTTCGAAGGAGGCGGTTCTGAACATGCCCTCAAAATGGCTTCATTCTTAAAGAAAACAAACATTCTCAATAGTTCAAAAATATATAAGTTTTGAATGAGTGTATCCAAAATGATCTGGCCAAAAAATAATCATCCAAGACACAAAGTTACAGGATCAACAAACAGAAAAGGGGAAATTACAGTAACTTAAACATTGAAAGCCAAAGGTATCAAGATTTATATAAGCCCCTTTGAACAGCACTCATCAGAGATTGTTATTTAATGCAAGGCAAACAGAAAAATGGAAGACCACAACCTGTTTTTTTTCCCTTTAAATGGTTTATATATTTGTTGCTTTCAGTTGGAGATCCGGGCCTCAGTGTTGTCAAGGCATGTGCTTTGCCGTTAGACAACAAGAAAGCCTCCCACCCTTTCCGGAAAGGCACATTTGATCAAGTGCATGCCTGACTAGGCACTCTTTTTTGTAAGGTAATATGCGTGAGAATACTGTCTGATTGTAGTTTTCTTTAACTTAATTTATTTTATTCTTAACCTTTTTATTAAATGTACCTTTACTAGTAAAAAAGAAGATAGTATCAAACTCTCTACTTTCCGATAGTTGGGTATGCAACAATATGGGATCATGAAGAAAACATGCATATCGTCTGACAAAAAAGTTCCATGTTTTGTTGATAAACTTGACCCCTCTAAAGAAGTCTAAACTCTCTACTTTCCAATTTTTAAGCATTCAACAATATGGGACCATACAGAAATCATGTATATTGGCCACAAAAAAAATCCATGTTTTTTACATTAACTTGACCACTCTTTAGAATTAGTTGTCATAACTATATATTATACATAGATACATACACTAATACACATATCGCAGGCAAGAGCTTAAGAGATATAAAGCCTTGAGAGCTGTTTGCACCCTTGAAAACACTGGACCTTAAGGATTGCAAAACTGGTATATAGGCAGGCTAAGTTCTACTATTGGCAAAGGATTTGAATCCACCATTCTAAGGCCACTACAAAAGGTCAACTACTTACATTTACAATAATTATATTTTTCTCAGAATATTACATGAGTGTAATTAAATAATATATGTTTAGCATAACTGAAGGAGTCGAAATCCAAAGCAAATGGAAAGGCCCAAAGACAATATATGAAGGTTCTCTCATCTGTGTACCGCCAAGACTACAAACTCATGGTAAGTAGACAACCTAATGTGAGAAATTTAAACTGCACTTCGCCCAAGTACATCGATAGAAGTTAATTGACCAACAAAGTTACCAGATATAAAGTAAAAATGACCCATCATATTCATGCCTGAACCCCGTACTATCCTTTCAAGACTCGAGATTAACCAACACATATTTGGAAATAGATAAAATTGTATGATCTTCCTAAGTCATATGCCGTATAACACGTGCTTAGTTCTAAATCACCAAACTTTATTTCACTGATCAGACACAATCATCTAATGCCAGCCTACAACTATAACCCCTTAAAATCAACACAAACAGAACTTCAGCTCTCAAAGTCAAAACTAGTTGTAGATCAACATTGAATACCCCCACTCATGCCAATGGCCATAAAATATAAGAACCCTTGCAAGAGCTATAGGAAAGGAACAAGCACAAAAATGAAGATGAAAACATCATTCATGAACAGTGGATACCCTTAAGATGAAATCTAGATTAGCAAGACTTTATACCATATGAACTTAAACTCTCTATGCTATCTAGAGGATGTATGATTTTTTACTTTGCAATTAATCACGGATACAAAATTTGGAACTAATTTCAACGTCTGAGTCCAAATATACATAGCTCTAAATGTAATGAACTGCCAAATGTTAAACTTGATATGTATAGAGCACAACTTTCTCCTACAATTGGTATTTGTCCCTGAATTCTAACTACTTCCCAACAACTAAAAGAATCGATTCAGAGATTAAAATCAACTAGCAATGTCAAAACCCAGGAAATATGTAAAAACGCCAAAATGGGGTAAAACGTCACAAAATAAAGGAGAGAGACCTGCCAAAAGCGCGGAGACGCTTCTTAGCGTTGGCTTTACGGGTAGAAGTGAGCATAATTCTCTTCCAAACGAAGCCACCTGAGTCATGCTTCTTCACTGTCTCTAGCACTCTTGTTCCCCAAAATGCTTTTATTCCTCCAGCCATCTCTCTCTCGCGCGTGAACGCCACCGCTGCTCCTCCACCTTTGTCTGGACTTTTACCCTATTTTCTAACTGGGCCTCAAATCCTTGTTAGCAGGCACAAATTGTATTAGCCCAAATGAATTGGACCAAGATTCCAATGTTCATCTAGTCTAATATAAAATTGGGAAAAAAATCTAATCGATCAACCATTATTTGATGAATAAAATATTCGAGGAAAAATGCATCTGATGTCCTTGTAGTTGATTGATGTGATAATTCATAGTACCAATGTGACAATTTAAAGTGTTGACGTAGTAATTTACAGTATTAACGTAATAATTTACAGTGATTAATGATGAGGTTGATGATATAACAGATGAGTTAAATTGATTTTTTGATCTTATTCGATGACCAAATTATTTTTTTTTAAGTTTAGAAGATTATTTAATTTTTTAAAAGCTATTTTTTAAAAATTTAAAATATAAAAATATTTAAATGTTCAAAAAAATAATATAAAGAATACTAAAAATAAAAAATAAATTATTAAGTTATTAAAAATATATCATAAATTATAATAATATGCCCTTTGATCTAAGATTGGTTCGTTATCTTTTATTTCGAGAAAACCTAGCTTATTTAAAAAAGTGATGATGTGGTCGTTAATGTAAATTAATATAAAGATATATTTAATCCTCAAATTTTACTCTTTATTTTAATTTGAACTAAAAACTAAAAAATTAACCCACATAATTTTAATATGTTACCAATTTAATCCTAAATCTGAAAACCTCTCCTTATACTTGGTATACAAATTCCTTGGGGGCAACATTCGGTAAACAAGAGCGATGTTCTTGGTGAGCTCTTTACCAGCATCACTAGGCAACTGACCCTGGATAATCTCAAACAGTGGGTTTTCGTTGCTGCCAAAACGATGGGTGGCCGACAATGAAGGTCACAACACGAACGAGTTTTTATCGCCGCCAAAACAATGACATTGGAAATGGAAGGGTGGAGAGAGGATGAAGAAAGTGGAGCCGATTAAAATGTCGATAAAGATGAACAAGAGCCGTTGTTCCATGAAGAGACTGTTAATAGAGAAATCTGAGGTGTTTCAAGGTTTTGGGCGAGTAAGGAGGAGTTTGGGGTATTAAAATCATCTCATCTCGTCTATGCTTCACGCTTGATTGCTTCTGCAACTGCTTCATGGCATCAAATTTCTGGGTTTTTCTTTTCTTTTCATTTCATTTTTTGCGTGGGAATTCTCAAAAGAATGGTGTTTTATTGGGTAAATTACATATTTAGTATATAAATTATTACTTTTGTTCCGTTTTGATAGTTAAATTTTATTTTATTTTTTAAAACTATACTTAATGTTTAGTTTAGGTTTCATTTTGGTACTTTGTCGTTAAAAAATTAACAGAAGTATTGACATGGTGCTTTTTTATTTTTTTCAATGATAATATGACATTATCTTATGGTGACACCTTAACATTGTTGCAAAAAATAAATAAATAAATAATTGAATGAATTGATGTTATCTATAACTTTTATTAACAAGTTATAGATAGCATCAATTCATTCAATTATTTTTTTCAACAATCCCCACATGAATGGACTTGACGGTTCAAAACTATTGATTCGACGTGGTGATAGATTATACGTTCAATATTTGCATATGGTAGGTAGGCGTTCCCCTTTGAACATTCCCTTGTGAAAATATGTTTTTCTTATTTGATGTCCAGTAGACGTGATGTTCTTGAAATATCATGTCGTTTGTGTAAGCGATGACATATCTCACATAAATATTTCACCGAAAGAATTTGGTTATCATGGTTATGTCTATATAGTCGTGGACATCTTCTGGTTTTGCAAACTATGAATACCAAAATGAAACTTAAACTAAACGTTAGGTATAATTTTAAAAAATAAAATAAAATTCATGTACCAAAAAATAACAAAAGTAATAGTTTATGTACTAAATAAGTAGTACTTTTTTTATTTAGCATAATGTTAAAATTGGCCTCAATGCTTGTCTAAATGTTTTTTTTAGAAAATAACCTCAGTGACCGAAAATGCCTTATAATATATGATTTTAACCAACTTTTTTTGGATTTGCCAAAATGACCAACAAATTCGCAACGCGAACTCCAATTTCGCAACTCAGTTTCTAATTTCTCAACGCGAATCTATAAATCGCAACACAGAAGTCAAATTCGTAACACACAAGTCAAATTCGCAACGCGAATTTGTAAATCGCAACACAGAAGTCAAATTCGCAACGCGATAGTCAAATTCACAATACAAAAGTCAAATTTGCAACGCGGAATTTCAAATTCGCAACTGAATTTCAAATTCGCAACATGAATTTAATTTCGCAACAAGTTTTAGTTTCGCAACACAAATGTTTTGAGTATATAACAACGCAGCAGCAACAACTCATAACCTAAATCCCTAAATTGCAACTCATTCCATCTCCATCTATCACTCTCTCTGGTGACATCCGTTCCTATATCCAACGACATCCTTCCCCATCTCTAATTTTTTTTTACATAATTTTATTTCTCTATAATTTTTCAATGATTTCTCTCCCAAATTATCAACTATCAACTTAATAAAGGTATGTTTTCTCTAAGTCAATGATGATATCTAGTTTATAGCTCGTTTGTTTAGTAAATTAATTTACAATTTGTAGAATGAAATCATCTAATGTTGATCATGTTTGAATAAATTTATGTTTTGGAGGGTCATGAGAGAATGTTAATGGTGTTTTACAATATGTGCCTTTACCTATGAATCTTCAACTAAAACTGTCATTAAAAAAGTTAACTTATGAAACTCTAATGTTACGTGTTGCAAAGAAATTGAATTTAGAGCCTCTAAGTGGATTTAGGCTATCTTATCAGAGAAAAGGTAAAGTTTATTTGTTAACCGACAATGAAGATGTTGAACGATTCATTGCTTACATTAGTGTTTCGCAAGAAGATAATGTTACAATGTATGTTGTTGAACCTAGAAGTAGTGAAGTTGGGTCAGTAGCGGGTAGTAATCAACTAAGTTCTTCAACCCCAGTTTATGGTGCTCATAATGTACAACGTTGTTATCAACCTCAAAATTTAATGGTTCCACCTCAATTTCATCACCAAGAAAATTTTGTTTCACCACATTTCCAATACCAAACACAATCTCAAAACCCATAACCTTTTCCTAATCCAAATCTCAATCAACTTTCAACACCAAATTCTGATTTTCGTATTGACTAGTTAGACGATTATGAGCCAATAGAAAAAATTATGAGTACTAATCAATATTCAAAATTTGATCTTGGTCAATACCCGGACTTTGATCTTGGTCAATACTCGTATTTTGATGATGTGATGGAAGAAGAAACAGACCATGCATGTAATGATTTTGATATTGGTCAATACCCGAATTTTGATGATGAAACAACCGCTGCCGAGGAAGATGTTGATGATAATGAGGAGGAAGTTACGACTGTGAATGAACATGTTAAACATCTATTCTGTAATTCATATAACCCTGAAGAAGAAAAAGAAGAAGAAGAAGTCCCCGAAGAAAAGAAAAAGAAGAAAATGCCACGGGAGTATAACTGAAATATGCCAGAATTACTTCAGATACCGGAAGAAGAGTTGGTAAAGATAGCAGTTGATTGTTACACAAAAGTTATTCGTATCAAGAAAGATGATTGTTTTGATACAAAGGAAGACTTGAAGATAGCTTTGTATACAAAATGTGTGGAAGATGGCTATCAACTAAAAGTTAACAAATCAAGCAAAGATCGTTTCGAAACAAGGTGTATGATTGAAAAAAATTGTACGTGGCATATGATTGCAAAGAGGATAAAATATTGCGAAATGTTTCAAGTTAGGACTTTTATTAATAAACATACATGTTCAAGAACTCAAGTTTTTCCTCACCATAGACATGCAAACAAAAAGGTGTTGGGTGGTTTTCTGGCTGAGTTAATGTTTTTGAATGGAAGGGTATATCGGGGACATGAAATTATGACTGACATGAATGCTCGGTTCAAGATTAGTATCTCATATTCTCAAGCTTGGAGAGCCAAATGTTATGCCTTGGAATTGTTGAGGGGGTCGCCAGAAGCATCGTTTGCCCAACTGCCGGCTTATTGTCACAATTTAAAGCTGAAAAATCCTGGGTCGGTAACTCATATCAAAACAGATAGAGATGGACGCTTTGAGTTGCTGTTTATCGCCATTGGTGTTGCGGTTAGTAAATAATTATAATTTTGTTGACTCATTTTTGTTAGTTGCATGCATTTCACATTTAAATGATTATATTTCTTGTGTATATGCTTTTTTAGATTCGTTCGTTTATTACTTGTATGCGCCCAGTTATTATAGTTGACGGAGCACATTTGAAAGGTTGATACCTTGGAGTAAACTTATTAGCAGTAGCCATGGATACTAACAATGGGATACTGCCAATAGCTTACGGGGTTGGCAAATCTGAAACCTCTGATTCATGGACATGGTTTATGGGGCATCTTAGGGATTGCATAGGTTCTATTAGCAATATGACAATCATATCCGATAGGGTAAACTCAATTGACAACGCTGTTAGAAGGTGTTTCCCAAATGTTTTTCATGGACTTTGTGGTGTTCATTTGTACAGAAATCTAAAATCAAGGCCTGCTGGTATAAAAAATCACAAATGGACATACTGGAAGGCTGTAAAAGCTTATCGGGAAGTGAATTTTAATAAGCATATAAATTGTTTAAGACATGTTTTGCCTCAATGTGCTCAAACACTAGAAGATGTCGGGTTTGAAAGATGGTCAAGAGTACATCAACTTGGAGCAAGATATGGTTTCATGATGTCTAATAGTGCAGAATCAATCAACGCTCTAAGTCGTTATTCCCGGAAATTACCCATTACTATGTTAATGGAGTTTTTTCGAGCCTCTATTCAACAGTGGTACTACAAGA